AGAAAAACCTACCGAGGGTTTGCCTAGAATGACTCCCTCCAAACGGGCACCGGCCGGCCTCTCGGGCGCGGGCGAGAGGGGCTTTTTGCCACTGTTTGCTGGTTGGTCGGTGAATGTAAAGGCGTTCCGCCCGCCGCGGGGCCGCGCAGCCCAGGACGGGCGCAGGACACGGCCCAGCGGAGCCCGCTTGGCTCCACAGCCCGATGGTTTTAAACAAAAGAGTTGGGGTTTTAGTTTTGGCTTTAGCGGTTTGGGTTTGGCGGGGGGTTTTTTGTTTGTTTGTTCCGTTGTTTTTGCTTGTTTTGTTGTTGTTGTTGTTTTTCCCCGCTCAGAAAACAACTGCAACCCCCTTTGCAAATTTTATTAATTTTTTTTCCCCCCCCTCGGGGGAAAACACGAGCTCCTTCCCGCCCTCCCCACCATGTGCGCAGAGCTCCCTTGTGCCTCCGGGCTGGCGCGGCTCCCGGCCGGAGGGGGGTTTTGTTGGGTTGGTTTGTTGGGGTTTGTTGTGGGGGGGAGGGCGGTATTTACAGTGCTGATCCCAGGTGCAACACAGAAGTTCCATCTTATAGGAAAGCAGGAAAAATGGGTTAATCCACCCTCTGTGGCTTGCACATCCTATTCCCATCCATGTCTAAAACCTGGCTGGGTTCATCATGGGCTCTCAACTCCCTTAAACCAATTTACCCCATGTGATGCTGAAGTTCTGGGTTTGGCTCACATCATGACTAGCACTGCCAGAAGAATAAATCCACTGCATCTTGCTCACAGTTTAGCTGGCAAGTTATCAAATAAGCATACTTCTTCTTATGACCGTTCACATTTAATTGTCAATGTCTAGAACTCAAGCACCAGGAATATCCCATTATTCTGTGTGCATTATAAAATGGGTGTCATGGACTCATTTCTTCTGTTTCTCTTGGACTCTGTGGAATGTAAGCATGATCTTATGGTCATGCCCTGCTGCCCTTTCCACATTAAGTACTGAACTGTCAGAATGAGTGGAAACAGGTGTATGCAGAGAAAGAGAGATGGCTATATCTGAAAGAGTGATTTGATTGTTGTGGTCATGGATGAAATTAAATCTGGCTGAGAAGTGCAACCAAAATTCTTCAGGCTCATTTGTGCACCATCAAGGCTAGTGGAATATGTGCCAGGAAACACGTTAATAAAAGGGCACTTCAAAAATTCACCATTCATGGCAATGCCCATTTCAGCTGTACATTGTTACTTTTTGAAGATTCTCTGAAATATTTGCCTTTGTTGTCTCAAACTTTGCATCTCTCTGTGTTCAGTCTATAGTCTCACATTTATATATTCCTTCCTTAATGGTCAGAAAGTTGTTGTTTTTTAAGATCAGAAAGCCCACTTTATGCTAACAAAGGGATAAGAGACTAGGAACTAGCTTGTCATATTCAGTGGTACAGTAAATGCTAAAACATACCCTTTGATTAACTGGCATCCTAACAAATTATAATGACAAATCAGCACAAAGATTCCAAGTACTCCTGTGAAGTATCAAAAATTAGAGTTCTACACCTGAGATTTCATTTCTTATTTCATATTCAGCTTTTTTAAAACTATGTAAAGATGCATGAGTTCAGCCCACTCTTTGCACTTTTCTGCCCAGAGATGAAAACTTCCTAATGAGTAGGCCAAAAGACTTAAATGTACCCTTGGTCTTTCTTTCACTTCCTGAAAAATATGTGACTGCAATCAGTCGCAGTCAGTTTGTATGTCATTGCCAGTGCTGGAAAACAGGCACCTGAAGTATCACATGGTTTCCCATGCACTGTGAGGAGCAGAGAGTTATCTGCTCTGCCGGGCTCAAGCTCTCTGAATGTAAAGCCCACTCTGAGAATATGTACTCTTCCTACAGGCAGAGGCTATTACTGTATCATCATGCATAAAACCAGCTATTATTTGTGTCAAAGTGCAAATACAGTAACTAACATTACAGAATATATAGCGTGATGAAGAACGGGATTACTACGGAGGGGTTTAAATTGCCAGTTAGTCTTTGGTCATCACTTCGGTGGGGAAAGAGGGACACCCGGTGGGAGGTCTTGGTAAAAACTGAGCAAGGCAATTTCTTTCTTGAAGCAGTAGGATAAAAATGTCCATAAAAGTGGTAAATTTTAGTAACTGCTAGATTTTGCTTAATTTCTAACGAAGGGTATTGATCAATTAAGACATATCAAAATCACACAGCAGAATTTTTTGCAGTGATGCACACTGTAAAGCCCTCACTTCCCTTTTATCAAGTTCACAAAGAAACGCAGCGCCGGCTTTTGTTCGGATGTGGGGTTGGTGTTTTGCTTTAGATTGTTGTTGTTGTTGTTGTTTTGTGTTTGTGCTTTGCTGATGTGCCCGTCACCGGAGCGGTGCCGCCCGGGAGCTCACGGGGCAGCGCGGCGCCCGGAGAAACGGGACGAGGCGAGGAATGAATCTCCCGGTGCTGCTCTGGCTCCGTCTACCCGTGTGAAACCGAGGCGAGCTCCCCCCGAGC